ATCCCCAGATTCCTTCCCACAGCCAATTAGTTACCCAAGAGAGATGTAGTACATCTGAGTAGCCCTACACTAAGCAAAACATTGGGCTGGCTTACAGCTGATATTTTCTACGGGTAACCAAAGCAAAAATTGTAATTATACTTGAACCAACTCTGAGGTTTTCCTACAGTTTGTCTCAAGACAGCTGTATCTTATATGCTGGAAAAATAAACATGACTAATCAGACTATACTGATAGTATACAGCCGTCAGTTGTGTTGATGCAAACAGAAATAGTAGACTTCCCACACATACATCCACACACCACTTTTTAAAACGCATCAAAAGCTTACAAATCGAGAGCAGACATTTCATCATCAGTGCTATCAACTGCAGAACTTTTAGCACCTTGCAGAAACACGGAAACTAAAACAGAAGTAGAGTTTTCAAGGTACATGTATCACCCCTCCACTGAATAGACAATTCAAAAGAAGTTATATATCCTGGTTATTTTGACCAGGTCATATAAAGAAAAAACACACATACAAACCACACACACCCTACTTTGTTAAACACTGCGTCATCTAAGCTTCTAGGTACCCATTCTTCTTGTATGCACACATTTTTAAGACATCCAGTCATACAGTATGAGTAACAGGTCAGGAGTCAAACAAAACCAAAAATCTCATTTTCTGTTTTTGAAAATGAGCAGCAGCATCTTGTTTGGACATGTCATCTTCATTAGCTCTGTCTTCGCTGCAGTCTGGATTACCTACAGAGTATAAAGCATCCCTTCTTACCTGTAATGGTCTTGTACTAGTTTTCCAGTTGCTGACTACAACAATTCCCACCCATCGTCTCAAATCACATACAAGAAAATAGGGAAGAAGGGGGGTGAGGATAGAGAGAACTGTACTTATCCTTTCAAATTAATATTGTCGTATTAAGGAAGACATAAAATGTTTAAAACTTATCCGTCTTCAATCAGATAAAATTTAGATAGAAAAGAATGACTTAAATAGTTAATATTTGGCTTAGGTAAAATTCAGTTTAAATCAAGTATCTGTATTGTACCAAGTTTTATTCAAGCAGTTAAACATCAACATTAAAGAACAGGAGCATGCTTTCAAAGCTGTCCAAGACAGCAGATGACAAGTGTCCCTTCCCCCCCCCCCAAGTTTTTCTGGAGAGTACAGTGGTGATACACAGTCAAACCCTCTCAATTCTCAGAGACATAAAACATTTGAATACTATGAAGAAACTTGGTAACTTCCCAAAGTTAGAAACATGAGAAAATTTGCTTCAAATGACCACCTTCATATTCATGCACAGTGGTTTTATACTTTCAGTCTTCATATGCTATCAAAAGCTGCATGCTATATTCTAAACTATTTGAACAATAAATCTTACTTTCATCAAGTCTTTGAGCTAGGAAAAAGTGTACAACTGGTCTAAGTAAGAAGTGTTAAGTTTTGGTCAGATTAACAGAGCAGAATGCTAACTTTTCAAGTCGAACTTCTCTGATGTTTTGTTAAACATCTGTTTTCCCTACTTCACTTCCTGTTCTCTCTCTTTCTCTCCCTCCCCCACCAGACAGGAAATAGTCTTGACAACAAATGAATCAGCTAGAAGTAGAACTAAGCAGCCATCAGCTGATTCTTCATTGTTTACAGGCACAGACACTTCAAAAAACATTGCCACTTTTTTTCGACCTAAGTAACCATGGTTGTCCTAACTTCATGTCATTAAAATCAACAAACAAACATAGCAGAACAAGCAGTCCACAGAGCTAAGCAGTCATTTTTGATTTCAAGGCAGAAAAAACAAACCAAGAAACACTTTCCTCAAAGTAACAGAAATCGTAACAGCCATTGTAATTGTCAAGTCACGGGACCTGTCTATTTCTAGGTTCATCTTTGAAAAAGGCCACCCAAAGAGAAAAAGCTCTAAATAAAATCCCAAACAGCAATACAAATACATTTGCTCTTTAGAAGCCATCTGGAAAAGCAACAGTATTGTTCATGTTCTATAGCAGCCTCTATATGCCTGGGATGTGCTATTACAATGCCAACTCCACATTTGTATTACTTTTACTTCCAAGTTTTTATCTTTCCTTAAGAAAGCCTAACTTCAATAAATACAGCAATTGTGAGAATTATTTCAAATTTGAAATTAGCATTCAATGCAAGCAATTTCTATGGAAACTGACTTATTTTAGGACTGTTAGAGGATTTATATTTTATCAGTTAACGATGCCTATCAACATTTAAACATTCAGTACACTAAATACTAGTCTTAATACTTTTGGGCCTCTATCTCACATTCCAAAAATGAATTAAAAGTTAAAATTATTGTGATGTTTGAGACAGCATGCAAGCCACTTTAAAAAAATTAAAACAAGGACTATGGACAACTAGCTCCATAGTACAAGATTATACTACTACAGCTAGTCCAACTATTCAGCTCTGAAAGAGTTCAAGTGTGTCTCTTACCACAATTGCATGCGGAGAATGCACTAAGGCCTTAAGTTCATTCAGGTCGTTCTCAGCCTGCAGAAATTGGCATAAGAAAAAAAAAACAAAAAAAAGAAAGTATATAAGGAGGGTGAATTTTGAATACTCTCACAGATACTATGAATTTAAACAGTGGTTAATACAGTCCTATAATCCCTACGTTACCTTATCCCATTCTCCTTCCATGACATGATTGCGGAATTTGGTAGCAGAAGGATGTTCTAAACGACATCCTGACTCTTGCATGAGAAGATCAACAGTCTGGCTGCAGGAGAGATACAGTGTAAAAAAACCTGACCAGTTTTACCCTCACAAATACACCGCCTGCCATGATAACAGTTAGCCATATTCAAACGTAAGTTTAATAAAGTAAGAACACTATAACCAGATTCAGACACTTGTCCAAAAGATTATCTCAGTTGCCTGAGACATGTAAACAGCTGCCTACGTCTAAAACATGTCATCAATTAGTTTGAGAGCTTTACTGAAGTACCATGAAGTATGTGACTTACCAGCCACCACAAACAGCCAGCCCTGCATAGAAGATAGGCTTCATGAAGGAAGAGACAGACCATAAACCTGTTAGCTACTGGCTACTAACCCCTGCCCCCCTCCCCACCTCCCATAAAACAACACAGAGAGCTACTGCATCTATCACAGGCCTAATTTTTTCTTCATCGTGTATTAGAAGCCTGGCTCCTTAAAATAAAATAAACAAACTCGTGAACCTGTAAGCCCTCCCCCTTTTACACTAAAAATAGCTTATTTACTGTGGTGTCGTCTATGAACAGTCACGAGTTGTCTGCTGCTGTAAACTTGCTTCTTGTGTCAGGGGCAATTTATTTTATGTACTAAGCTCTTTATAATTGACCCATCCCGCAGTGTTTTGAAGACTTGTTTTGCGGTAGCTACGTGAAGACTTTGGATTCCTGCTCCAAAATGACGATGTGTTGCCCTTAGCTTTACTCACGCAGACGCGCAAATGTTGTGATTAAATTCTTAGGCCTTCTTTCCTATACCATAAAATTATTTTCCTTATCCCGATCTCAACAGCCAACACGCTCGCTCCCGGCCCCCAGATAAGATTATTATCAAAAACATGTGGCCGGAACAAATCTGCAAAGGCCCTTCACCGTTCGCAGGGACGAAGAGGCTTCCCGCAGCACCCAGCCGGCCTCTTCCAGCGAGGGCTTCAATCCCTGCCAGCTGACAAGCCAAACCTCGGAGCTCATCTGCAGAAACCCCCCTCCAAAACCACCACCACCATCCCCCCCTCTCTCCGCCCAGCTGTGCGGGCTCCATTCCGTTTCCCAGCTAACTTCACCCCCGCTATCGATCCGCCTTATCGGCCTCGACTTCCATTTTGCCGGCCCAGGAAGAAGCTCCCGGCCTGGCCCTTTCCGAGGGGCAGCTCCATTTCGGCAGGGGCCCTACCCCTACCCACCCCCCCCCCCCCCAACCTTCAAGGGAGGCCCCATCCCGGCCCCGCGGCCACTTACTTGAGGCCCAAGCCGTGGAGGTGCTGCCCGATCAGCCGGATCACGTCCTCGTCGGACTGCGACAGCCGCTTCTTCTTCTTCAGGGCGCTGCCACCACCGCCACCGCCACCACCTCCCCCCAGCTCAGCGGCGGCCGGGCCGGGCCCCCCGGCGGCGGGCACCCCGTTGTTCACGCTGAGCCCCCCGGGGCTGTTGGCCGCGGGCAGCAGCCCGTTGGCGTGTGCCAGCTGCTCGCCGGCGGCCGTGCCCGCCGAGGCCTCGCCGTTCTGGGCGCCCAGGCAGCCCAGCTCCGGGCCCTGCTGCTGCTGCTGCTGCTGCGGCGGCTGCTGCTGCTGCTGGCCCCCTCCAGCCCCGTTGGCCTGCATGGCGCTGTGAGCGCTGCTGCTGCTGCTGCTACCGCTGCTGCTGCTGCCTCGGAGCGGGGCGGCGGCGGGGGCGAGCCCGGCGGGGAGCGAGGGGGACTGGGACGAGGTGAGGCCTGCTCTGGCCGCGGAAGCCCCGGGCTCTCCTGCTCCCTCCGCCGCCGCCGCCGCCGGGGAGGCCCGGGCTTTCTTCCGCGGGGGCGGGGAGGCTCCGCCGGTGTCCGAGTCGGAGGAGGAGGAAGCGGAGGCCAGAGTTTCCTCGCCGAGAGCGGCCGTGGTGGGAAGCCGGGGGGAGGAGGGCGAGGATAAGGGGGGAGGCGGCGGGGGTGAGGGGAGGCGGAGCGGGGCCCTGCGCCCCCGGGGGTCCCGGAGGCAGCGCCGCCGCCGCCGCCCGCTCGGGGCTCCCTCTGCCGATGGCCGCCGCTGCCCTGAGCCCCCCCCGCCCGGCAGCCCCAGGCGCCCGGCCCGCTCCGCTCGCTGCCCGCCGGGTCTGGCTCCTCGCAGCCCAGCTGCAGCCTAATGGAGTCCGGGCCGGGACGTCACAGGAAATTCCTATACTGCCCCCTACACACACTTCCGCCGCCCGAGGCTGGGGGTGGGGTGCGGGCGCTATAGGGGCAGGGGGGCGAGGGTGGCTCTAGGGCCGGCGGTGGGGGAGAGGGGTCCGGGATGGCCCCGGGGGCACCGCCCCGAGTGTGTAGGGTCGGGGCTGGGAGGGGGGAGCTGGGCGGCCCCGGGGTGCAGGAGGTGTGAGGAAAGTTCCTGAAGCGGTCAGGGGGGGTTTGGGGGTTGCTTGGGTCTGGTTGGGTTTAAAAAGGGGGAAAGGTTTAAAAAGGGGAGATGTTTTAAAAGGGGATACGCCAAGGGTATGTGCAACCACCCCCTGTTGTTGCCAAGGGGGTCACTGGAAGGGCTAGGACTTGGGTATGGCTTCCACAGTCATGATGTGACTTCACACCAAAAAGGGAGAAAATGGTGTTTCTGCATGGGGTCTGATGTTTTACAGCACAGAAGCATTGAGGTGTGGGGTGTGTTTGCCAGGAGGAATACAATGGGGTGTTTTGGGGTTTCCATGTTTTTCCTCAGAGGTGTCTTTCTGTCTGCCTCCCGTGTGATGGCAGCTTAAACCCCCAGCCGAGCCTCTGGTCAAAAGTCATGAGACAAGTAAAATCCTGCTTGAAAACAGCCTCGTGAAAGAATACGTTGTGTGGTGTTTGGTTTTACAGCCCGGAGTTTTCGTCTTGAATGCTTTCAAACTTTCCTCCAAAGCGCAGAGCAAAATAAGTGTTTTCATTAATGGGAGCTGAGATTAACATCTAATCATCTGCTTTCAGGAAGCAAGGTTTAAAGAACACTGGATATTTCCAATTAATGATAAAAAGATAAGTTTGGACAATAGTGCTTTCTTCAGAGTACAACTGTGAAGAAGGCTGACTGAGGGAAAACACCTCGAGACCAGTGCAGAAGTTCGTGAAGAGACAAAATACTCGAAAAGGATGAAACTAGAGAAAACCAGACTGCATGGGGGCAGTTGAAGTAGATACCATAGCTTGCCCCTGTTTATAGGTCTCAAAAGCTATTTGACTAGCAACAGCTGAAGCACACTTAAATCAGAGGGAGAGGCTGGAAAAAGCTTTGTCACACAGAGTTCTGCCCAGGTGTGGCTGTAGGATTAAATTCAACATTGGTCTTCCAGAGAGAGAGGACTGTTTAGGTTTTGTATTCCTTAGTTCACCAGCCACTGCTGGAGAATGCATTGCTTACGTTTTAGCCACTTTAGCACAGCTGTTATCTCTTCTCATCTCCATTGCTCTGTCTCTTCTTCATTCTTGAGGTCATCTTCCTCATTCCTCTCGCTCTGGTTGCCACGATTGAGCCTATAATCCAATGGTTTGGGGTAAGGTTGCAGGAACAGCACCCAGAGCGACATAGAGCCTGTGGAGATGCCTTACAAAGCCAACTAAGGAGCAATATGCTTTTTCTTTAGGAAGGTAAAGTTGCCCGTTTTTCCTTCCTGTTCAGTCTCCAGGGGATGAAAGCCCTTTACCACCATTACCAGTTTGTGAGACTGTTCCTCCAGCTGCTTTAATCTGCCGTGCGCCTCTTGCAGAGCCTGGAGAGCCTGGCCTTCCCTCATCAGTCACTGCTTTGATCACCTGCATGTAGCCTGCTGCTCCCACACACCAACTCCTGTGCTGTGTCAGTCACACTGGAGGAGTTGGAAGGAGGAAAGATGCTGATGAGTCTGCGAAGAGCACATCTGTGATGACAGAAGAATCCCTTTACTGTAGCTGGGTGATGTATGGATAAGCAGCTCTATGTACCTGTCTGTGGTGGGAAAGGCTCCTGCAGAGTAGCAATGTATCCCACTCATTTCAATTAAATATTCTAAGGGAGTAAGAGCGGTGTTTGGAGTTGAATCTAAAATACCGCTTTTAAGAGGTACATATTGCTGCATTAATCACGGTGAAAGTTCTTACACCCTCCCACCCTGCCTCGTTTCCTTCCCTGGGGGAGGAAATATCCCAGCAGAAACACAAAGAACTGGAGGAAGAAACTCGGTGTTGGAATGGCACAGGCCCTTGGCTTCCGTGCCAGGGGAAGCTGGGACACGACATTTGAAAGTTTCTCAGGATCCCAGCTGACACAGAAGTGTAGGAGAATGATTCAGAGCCCCTGGTGTGGAGAGCATGCCTCAGCCAGATCCTAGCCCACGTGTGGAAAGTTCCTGGAGCAGTTCCTGCTCCTTTCCTCTTCATCGCCAAGAGGGGATCCTGAAACAGGTCTGTGGCTTAGCAGACCTTCCTCCTTATAATGCAGAAAGGAAAAGGAGAACTGGGAAAGGGACAATGACACCGTGCTTGGGAAATGTGTCAGTAGTTGAGCACTGATTTGGAACCTTCTATTTCACACTCTCATGAGAGACAACCAATTTAATGGCAGGCCAAATAAACACGCTTCTACTGAGCAATTTGGCAAATCAGCAGTTAAATACAACGCATCTCATTTGTGTCAGAAGACTTTATTATGAAGTATGCATTCGTCGTACCCAGACAACTTCAGAGTTTCCCAAAAGTAGAGAAGAGATGTAACAGTACACCAATGAAAATTGACAAATTTATGAACACCCACAAGAGAAAAAAAAAAAAGAAAGAAAGAGGCAACCTTAAATACAGCTATGATGATATCAACCATATTACTGAAGTACAGTACGTTTTGCTTTAGAGGATGGGGCAGGAAGTCCTGATCTGAATAATAGGAAGGAACTCTTTCATTAAGGGGCTGGTTTTTTGATGGTAATCATATGAAGCTGCTTAGGCAGAGCTGAAATGCTACAAAATAGAGAAAATCATGGAGAGATGGGTTAGTAGTCAAAGCTACACTATGAGCATAAGGAACCATTTGATTCCTCTTGTCAGATGTATGTGTGTATACATAGGATCATAGAACGCGTTGGGTTGGAAGGCACCTACCTTAAAGATCACCTAGTTTCAGTCCCCTGTGCCTTACCACCACCACTGTACACACAGTTTCCTTTTCCTTCTGCACTGAATTTGAGGTTACTGGAAGCAAAACAACTAAAAACAACAAAGGAAGAAAGAATGGTTTAGAATAATGGCATTTTGCATAGTACCAACTAAATAGATGCTATAAATAAATAATAGACACCTGCCTATGCTTGTAACTTTCAAAAGATGAGACACAGGTGAAAAACAACCACTTTTCTTGGGCAGCATTCCTAGAAAGCACTCAGTAGATAGAGGATTTAGAAGCAAACCACACTGGGCCATTGCCTTCTGCAGAAGATGGTCACTATTTTAGTGAAGGAGGAGAGTCTGGAAAGCCAAAGCTTGGCTGGAGCTGAAACAGAAAAAGAATAAATGTGAGGTGCAACAAAAAGGGCTTTTACAGAAGCAGCAGCAAAAGGAAGGTGAAGAAAAATGTGGGAAGGAAAATTTGCTGCAGAATTAGTCACTGACCTAGTGATAAAGAGCAAAGAAAAGGCTGAGATTCTCAATGCCTCATTTGGCCTTTATTGGAAGAAAATCCTGCATTTTCCTAGCTTCTGTGGCCAGTAGCAGAGTGCAGAGAAGGAGACTAGGAGGCTGCCCATCCTGGTGGACAAGGGAAGTTCAGCATGGGAATTTCAACAGGTGTTGAATTAGGGCTGCATTATCACTGTACCCAGCAGGTATATGCTCTCTGTGCGTCACTGGTGAGTCCACATTTGATATCCAGTGTCCAGTTTGGGGTCCTCCAGTACAAGAGACATAGAGCAGCCTAGAGCAAGGTCAGGAGAGGCTGCTAAGGTGGTAGGGGCTAGAGCAGGTGGTGTACAAGGAGAAGCTGAGGAAGTGGGTTTGACTGCAGCGGGATCTAACTACAGTGGTCATCTTCCCCAGGGCAATCACAGAGAGAACAACACAAGGCTTCTCTTCAGGGTGCACACCAAGAGGACAAGAGACAAAAATCAGAAGTTGCACCTGGAGAAATTCCAACTGTGCACAGGAAAAAAAGTCAAAGTGAAAGTGGTCATATACTGGAACAGGTTTCCAGAGAGATTGTGGATTTCCCGTCCATGGACGTACTAAAAACTGGACTGGGCAAGGCCTTGGTCAAAGCTCTGAGCAACCTTGTCTAGCTTTGAAGACAGCTAGAGGTAGAATAAGTGACCTGCAGAGGATCTCTCCCAACTTTATTTTTTGCTATGATTCTAAATATACTTCCTGGAAGAATCCCTGTGGTTTGAGGGAGCAATATTTGTGACTCAATAAGTGTCATGGCTCAGGGGTTACTGATACTATGCCCCAAAGCTTCCGTAAGGATGCTGTGTTGGCAAAGATAAGGGCATTAGAGCTATTGTTGCAACTTAATTAAATATTAGGTAATCACACTCTGTCTTCTGTCCACCAAAGTCATGTGCATTAGACTGATGATGACCTCTGCACTCTCCTAGGCAATCACAACACAACATGGTAACAAAAATATCAGAAAGTGATGAAGATTCCATGTAGTATGGAATATCTTTTTTAAGACAATCTGTCATGGTCAATACAACTTCTCATATAAATAACATACATGACATGTATTTTCCTGTGTCTTTCTGGATGCCCAGGATGCCATGTATTGGGGCAAGTCGAATTTATCTTTATGGGCAAATAAAGCATGGATCTGCAAGAGGTCTGAAGCTAGGCTTGTACTTACTGTGCAACTTCTCCGAGCATGTACAGCAAGACAATATCACATATGCTGTGACTCTTATGTGTCAGGCTTGCTTTGCATGCATGATTTATCTGTCTGGGACTATCCTAGATATCAGCCTGCAAAATCTGTCTGTGTGTACTGTGTTATATCAGTCACGTTGAGATACACTAGAAAGTTATTTGTAGCCTGGATTTGGAAAGATGGTAGGTCACCGAGAGATGTTTCCACACTTGCAACGGGCAGAATAGCAGCATGCTTGCACTTTTTTTTTTTTCTCTTGACACCTTAATAGGCGTAAATGTTAATTCTAACACTTACTGAATCACATTCTGACTTTGTGTGCAGTAGAAGCTGATTTCGTTCTGTGGGGTTTTCCAGGCCCATTGTTTAGAGTGTCTCCTGTAGTCTGTGTAGTCCTTAATATTAGCGTGTAGAGTTCATGTCCAGAACTCAGATGGGTTGCTGGTGTTTATGTGCAAGACTAGATTTATCATTCTATTGTTGCAGTCAGTTTGCTTTTCCTACTTGCGGGTTGCTCCCCTGCCTTTTACTTTGTGCTTGCTCTCAAAGCAATTGTTATTTCAGGCTTGGTAATTGTGTCTGCCAACTCTTACATAGCTCCTAGAGCTTAACCCTGAGTGGGGTAACACTGTGCTTTCTGTTGCCTAGCCACTGAATTATGCCCCGCCTCTCCCAGAGTGACATGTATGGTAGTCCTTTCTCTCTCCTTTTTCTGTTTTCTCTAGAGGGTTATATTGCAATGAGCTCTTGCACCTGGAACTAAAAATTCAAGACCAGGCATGTTGGCTGTAGTATCGCATATCCACTCTGAAATGGGCAGAGAGGGGAAGTTATTACGTAATCACCAGCAGATTATATCTTAATGTTAAGATTCAGAATAGCTCCTTGGAGCCCAGGGATTATTTAGTAATCTTTTTTTCCCCTTCTTAATCAGGAATATATGGTTTTCCAAACTCCATGTTTAAAAAAGTATGCGAACCACCAGACCCTCCTTACATGCTTTGGAAAAGAGATTAAAGATTATAGTCACAATGTCATTGCACTACTATTTAGGTGCTTGCTCCTTATTTTAAGGTGAAATCACTAGTTTTTGCTGCAACTGTGTCTTTGCTTAAAGCACAACTTCTTCCACAAACTTCTCCATCCTTGTTGTCGCATATTACTTACATTAGAAATAAAAAGCCATGAAGTTACAGAAAAAATGCATTCACATGGCTCCATACATTTACATGGTAAAAAATCTTCACCACTTCACCAAATTTGTAATAGTTTTACAATGCATCAGCTCTGACACTACTATTCATACTTAAGACCTTGTAATGTTTCAAATAACTGCTATTTTTTTAATTTGTTTTTATTTTTGTCTCTGACAAAAATATTTGGGCTTTACATGTAGGTAATGAAACAACCTGGTTTCTCAGATAGGAAAGGTAATGTTCCCCAAATTTTCTAACTTACTTGGCTGTTTCTTGTTTGTTTGTTTTTCAAGAGGATACAGTCTGTGGAATATAGGTGGACATATTTTTTTACTGACATTTGTTTGAGGTGACTAATATGAGTTATTTGAATCTTTGCCTCGTAAATAATATAGTCATTCCAAATACATGCAAATTAAACCTTTATGCTTTTGTGGCTTCTCTCTTAAAGAAGAGTGCCAAGAGAGTTTTTGAAGCATGGCATGATAGGAGGGCTTTGCTAACATTCATTTGGCATTATCAGTTTGACTAATAGGGAGGACACTCTATATATTGCCATTTCTATTTTTATCTGTCACTGCATGTTAATACAAGATAGTCAGTTAGGCCTATAAAATTTCTGAATTCATTCCCAGTTCTCTATAAATACCAATGTCTTTTATTTAAGCACCTCCTATTTAATAGCACTTCTTCCGAATGCCACATCTGAGAGTAGAGCATGTCCTGCTGGATCCACACAGCACTGAGAGGCATGGTGGGGACTAGTTCCAGCTGGAAGGGGGAAAGGAAGATTTTCAAAATTGGGACCAAAGGCATGGTCCCAAAGGCATATTTCAGTGCCTACATAGACATGCTTCCATGTGTAGTACTATTTACCATGTTGTCACAGTTGGAACCTAGTGTTATGAATTATAACAAACCTATCATCTGAAAGATGTCCCCCTGTACTCAGCTCTGGCAAGGCCACACCTTGAGCACAGTGTTCAGCTTTGGGCCCCTCTCTACAAGAAGGACATCGAGGCCCTGAAGCATGTCCAGAGAAGAGCTATGAAGCTGGTGAGGGATCTGAAGAACAAGTCCTACGAGGAGCGGCTGAGGTATCTGGGCTTGTTCAGCCTGGAGAAGAGGAGGCTCAGGGGCAACCTTATCACACCCTACAGGTACCTTAAAGGAGGCTGTAGCGAGGTGGGGGTTGGCTTGTTCTCCCACGTCCCTGGTGACAGGATGAGGGGGAATGGGCTAAAGTTGTGCTAGGTGTGGTTTAGGTTGGATATTAGGAAGAACTCCTTTACCAAAAGGCTTGTTAGGCATTGGAATGGGCTGCCCGGGGAAGTGGTTGAGGAGGTCTTTAAAAGACGTTTAGATGTTGAACTTTAAAACGTTTAAAAGACGTTTAGATGTTGAACTTAGTGATATGGTTTAGTGGAGCACTGGTCAGTGTTATGTCAGAGGTTGGACTCGGTGATCTTGGAGGTCTCTTCCAACCTAGATGATTTTGTAAGACTTAACTATTGCTGTATTGCACACTGTGGCCACTTGAAACTTCACAGTACATTCTGAAATGAGCTCTGACTTTCTTTCCTGAAAACAAAGGCTCCTGTCCCTGAAGCTAACAGAATCCCCATGTGCTGTTAGAAGTGTGGTGCCAAAGCTATGTAGTGCCAATGACACAGCTGAACAGGATGGCTTCCATTTTGCCAGGAGCATTGACAGAAATACTAAGTAGGTTGTTTGAGAAATCCATTTTGCTCTTACTGTTGTAATAGCAATATTAGCAGGAAAATTTTGACAGAACTTTTTTAAAAAACAAAAAAGCAACCACAACAACAACAAAAAAATTTGATATTCATCTCATCTGACTCTCTATATCTGTCAGTTAAGCAACTAGCCCAAGCTATTTTTCTAGGTATCCTCTGGAGAAATGGAGTCACTTACAGAGGTGATTCATCCCAGATACTTATTTTAGGATGGGATGAATCACCTTCTGGTGCCTCTCTCCATTGACATTAGGGGGAGCCTAGTCCAACTATATTAGACTACATCACTGACTTGGTGAGTAAAGTTAAAAGAGGTATATTCTGGCATAACTTCAATCACTTTAATGGTAGATTTGAATTTGCAAAGAGTGTCATCATGGGTCAAAGATGCCAATATGACACTGACGGTCACAGTAAGGTATGACAGTTGAGCACCTACTCCCATATTACTGGGAGGCCAACCTGTGGCTCATGAAATGCATGCAGTTCACAAACAGTTCAGAGCTGATTTCTGTGTTGGAGCCATACTGACACATCACTTCTCGGTGATCTGTCATTGTCTATCTCATTTCTCTTTTCCTTGGTAGAAATAAGAACAGTGGCAGGTATCAGGTACCCCGTGTTGGAAGGGACCTCAAAGATCATCTAGTTCAAACCCCCTGCCATAGGCAGGGACACCACCCACTGGATCAGGTTGCTCAGGGCCTCACATAACCTGGCCTCATTTAACCTGAACACCTCCGGGGATAGAGCATCTACAACCTCTCTGGGCAACCTGTTCCAGTGCCTCACCATCCTCTGAGTGAAAAATTTCCTCCTAACTTCTAATCTAAATCTCCATTCTTTTAGTTTAAAACCATTCCTCCTCATCCTGTCGATATCTGATTGAGCAAAGAGTTGCTCTTCACCTTTTTATAAGTCCCCTTCAAGTTCTGAAAGGTTACAATGAGGTCTCCCTGGAGCTTTCTCTTCTGTAGGCTGAACACCCCCAGCTCTCTCAGCCTTTCTTCATAGAAGAGGAGCTCCAGCCCTCTGATTATCTTCATAGTTCTGTGGACATTCTCTAACAGCCCCACATCCTTCTTGTGCTGAGGGGCCCCAGACCTTTATACAGCGCTCCAGGTGGGGCCTCTCAAGGGCAGAGCAGAGGAGGACAGTCACCTCCCTCTCCCACTGGTCACTTCTCTTTTAATGAAGCACAGGATGCAGTTGGCCTTCTGGGCTAAGCTTTCTTAACAAAACATGTCCATTTGTTCCCTAAAACAATTCTCTTTTTTCATATTCGTTTTTAAATTTAATAAGGTCATTTACCCCACAAGAGATACTTAAAAAGCCTTCTTCAGCAATATTTTAGTGGCGTTATTTCAATATTGAGAAAAGACTTAGGGGAATCTACTTCATTGTTATAAATGCCTGACCATACAGATACCTTAAAATGTCTGGTATCAACACATTATGACTTTGTAGAAATCTTGTGGGATACTTATCGCTAAAACATCTTAATCTGTCTTTTCATACAGAACTAGTATATTACTCTACTGCTTACTTTTATCATTGATTAAATACTAATCTTTTAATATCATTAACAAAAATTAATATTGTTAACAAAAATGTATGGCATCTATTACATGAAATATAGACCATGTTATTTTAAATATTCTCTAAAGTTTGTCATAGGAATTACAATTTCATCCAT